GTGTCCTACTAGTGATAGATATATAACTATAACTACCCTGAACATCTACCTTCTCACAACTAATATGCATATTATGGTATTAAATTTTAGATATCGACGAATGTGCTAACCCAGATGTATGCCCAAATTTTACTAAATGTATAAATACAGTGGGAAGCTATTCCTGCCAATGTGTGGAGAAATACAAAGTTAAAATTTCTGATGATAATCCAAACTCAACAGAGTGTATAGGTGAGTTGAATCCAAAGTAAACAGGGTATATATAGGTAATTTGAATCCAGAATAAACAAAAGATATAACCTGAATCCAGAATAAACAAAATTTATAACTTGAATTCAAAGTCAACAGGAAATATATGTAAGTTGAATACAAAGTAAAAACAATGTATAAGTTAGGTTGAAATTTAGGTTAACAGGATTTATCAGCAGTTGGAACCCATAGTCAAGAGAATGCATACCTAAGTATAATTTAAATTCTATAGGATATGTAGGAAATTGGACTCTAAAGTTAATAAGATTTATATTTAAGATAAATCTAATATCAAAACAGTATACAAGTAGATATATTCGAATAGATAAACAGGGTGTATAAGGATATAGAATTGACTACAACTGGATATATAGGTAAGTAAAAATATTCAGTGTGGTGAAACATGTACTATAGTTTCCAGATATATTTCAGAGGCATCAATTGTGTTTCATAATATTTAATTAGTAATTCAATATTTAGAGAAGTTTGAATAATGATTATTTTGTATCGCTTATAAATTCTCATTAAGTATACAAAGATAATTTATTAGTTGATTTTATGTAGGTATTGGTGAGTAAGTAACAACTTTTCATTGAAAGTAACAATAACATTGTTTTCATTAGGTGTCTGTGAAGAAAGTAACAATAACATTGTTTTCATTAGGTGTCTGTGAAGAAAGTAACAATAACATTGTTTTCATTAGGTGTCTGTGAAGAAAGTAACAATAACATTGTTTTCATTAGGTGTCTGTGAAGAAAGTAACAATAACATTG